GTGTGTGTGTGTGTTTAGTTATATATATATTGTGTTAGTATATATATATATATATATATATATATATATTTATATATATATATATGTATGTAAGTATGCATGTATGTATGTACGTATGTATATAGCTATTAAAGTACTCAGAGGCCATACATAGTGATACAATCAGCAGTAACTTTAATTTTTGAAAGTTGATGAGCCCAGATGTTACGTTTCTTGCCTTAAAAGCCCCAGGTAGTAATTTCGCAACAATAGCAGCTCACAATGTAGAAATTATATTTCCCTAACCTTTACTCTTCTGAAGATGACTCGGCTGATTCCAATTCTTTCACTATATATCCTTCTTTAAGAACACGAAAGTTTCGATCATCCTTGATCCCCTTTGGCCGTGGATCCAAAATCTGTGGCACAATTGGAGATCGGTGAAAGATGCAGAACTTCATGGCTACGCGGCATGTACATGACATACATGTCTGTGTAGATACGTTTCCATCCGCACGATTGGTTTCTATATATATGAATCAATGCCCCTGGTTGCTTTTCCGATCTGTCTACGTTGAAACGGCACCACATCACACCTCAGATGCTAACTAAAGTGAGTATCGGATATCAACTAATTATTCGTACGCATATCATATGGATGGAAGGTAGAGATGAAGCGCGACTTCATTCGCAGAGGATGTGGAATTGGTAGCACGAGGCACCCGTCACCCATTAAAATCCGCACAAGAGCAATATTTCAAGATATATTATAGAAAGAAGATGGTTCGTATCTTACCACAAAAGCAATATTTCAACATATGATGTGATAAAAATGAGGCTTGCAGCTCACATAAGCCTTTAGAGGACATTCAAATACAAATATGCCGCTATTCCCACCCACGCATCTATTTTACTCAGTTGTTTCGGTACATATGAGGGTCCTTCGCGCGTGACGAATAAATCAACATTAATAGACAATTACACCGCTCGTGATCGCATATATATAAATATATATGTATATATATATATATATGCACGGGAGCATACAAAATTATAGCACACTCTTGCACCAATCATGTCACACTTACGAAGACTAACGCGTGCAGAGCAAACAGTATCGTAGTCACAAACCTTCTCAAACTTCGAGACAATCTCCTTTTTCTCGGTGTTGACGGGAAACATGCCGTACATTCGTTTGCTGCTGCTTTTGAGAGAGAGCCCTACACTTCGCAGCAACTCCCGGTATACAGTTACGTGCCTGGAGTGTTATCAAGCAAATCGACAGTATAGCAATTAGAAAGAAAATCGTATAAAGAGGTCAGCTTGCGGAAGCTTTCATTCAGGTTGAGCAACTGTACCGAGTGTGATATACTACTAGTGTACCGAGTGCCCCATCATACACAGCACGCTAGTGTCTCGAAGAGTGGAGACTACACCGCTGAAGATCTCAGATCACAATCCATTGCCTGCGGCTGCCCTAGAGCGTCGACAGCACCCAGAGAGGTACGGTGATTGTATAGCGAAAATCCGCTACACTTCAAGCTGGGCTCTTTCATGTCAAATCAAATCACAAGAAATGTAATTTTCTATTTTTAGCTCAGGTATCACAAATAATAAACATGTGCGCCGCTCTGGGGTGTGAACATACAACAAACGATATATTCAACCCGCAAGTATGTGGTGGCATCACACATACACGAGTGGTGTATGGTTCACTTCTGCGATTTCAACACGTATCAAAAGTATTGTGAGGCATTGTATATCTATTGTACTGTGTAGGGCAGTGTATATCTATTGTACTGCATATCTGACTGGTTTGACTAAGGAGAAACCAGGAACACATAACTGGGGCTAGTGCCCGATACGAGCATCATATATGTACAACAGTGAACACTGTCAAAGAAAATGCAAATAAGCAGTATATCATCAGTCAGAGTATGATGAACGGTATGCTGATGTTGACAGAAGCAGTTCAGTACTAGGCTGATAGCTTCTATATACATCTGTTTTTATCTATACGAGCACTGTGTTTAAATTATTGCAAGACAAAACTGGGTATAATCACGATTCCTTCCATACATACATAAAATCGTTCATAACTATCAGATTCAAACAAACAATTCTATAAATAAAGTGATATGCTTACAAGCCAATTACGAACACATTCCTTCCGATACCTCAGTTTGACCCGTAATTCATGCCCAGCCTTTTGTAACACTTTTTTAAGCTCCTCGTCACTCAGACAGATCACCTCATTCCCATTGACAGACAGTATAGCGTGGTCCGGGGGTAGGTTTGCCAGAGCTGCCGGCGAGTCTCTGAGCACACAAAGAGTATATAGGGCTTGAGTATACACCTACGAGAAAGAAAAAAAATGACTGACATAAAGAAAGGACTGGCTATAACCGCACGAGCCAATTAAATCAACCGAACTGCAGAACGTGCCTCCGACAAAACAGAACAATTGGTCCTTTATAACAACTCCGGTGGCCTCTAACAAGCATGAGCTTTCGGTTGGATATTCGAGACTCTGGAACTTCCGCACACCCATGAAAAAGTGAATGGTAATAATTCGAGTCATTGATATACATCAAAGAGTCTCTAAATAGATGTTTGTACTCTACAAATACTTATATACGTAAGTGAAAAGACACGCACCGGCCTACGTGGTATATGTATATATATATATATATATAATATTATATATTATATATATATATATTATATATATATAATATATATATATATATATATATATATATATATATATATATATATATATATAATATATATATAATATATATATATATATTTATATATCTGGAATATACATATATATAGATCTGGAGATTCCAAGTGTGCGATCCCTATCTGTGTACTACAACGCTACTTGACATTTACAAACAGTCAATACTTATATATTCATACATAACTCAGATATACCTGCAGGAATCATCCTGAATATTGAGCCTCGGCTCAGATATCAATTTTATACCTAAAACATCCTACTATACACACTCGTGGTATATACACACTCACGGTCCAGTGTACCTGTGTTTATTCACAAACAAACATTCACACACGCACATGTACTTACGGTTCAATTTCCGAGGATATGACCCCATTACGTATACCAAAGCCCCAAGAGACGTCCACTTCCTCCCGTTGTAGAACTAGAGTGAGCGGCTTGCGCACAGTCAGTCGTACCGAGTCGTTGTGTGTGATTGCATGCGATGCATCTACGGACCGCATCTCAGTCTCTATAGTGTCTGTGAAGGCAGTTCATATATAAGACTTTCTTTCAACCCCTGTCCCTGCGCGTATGTTATGTCTCGATGGAAATAGGTCGCTGCTTGTTGTAACCTTGATATATCTCCGAAGAAACGATTCAAAAGTTCAAAATGCTCGAGAATATTCTCGTTTTGCCTCTGCACAACGAATAAATACCATTGCGAAGTGTACTGCGGTGCGCCGTATTCAAATCTGAGCGTAACGGCAATGCCCATAACCAGTCACTGCACCCGCGGAGTGCCAAATACAGCTGTACTCTGACTTCAAGTAGAAGCTCTGCACGATGTAATTTCACTGATAGGCAATGCAGTATAT